GTATATACATATATAGCCGAAATCATTTGGCTCAAGGCTTGGGGGGTATCACAGTATGGTATATCAGGGATTTTAACCTAAAGGTGTAAAATACCACCAAAATGACATATGCTCCTGTCTATTAAACTGATACAGTGATGCTGTATTGATGAGATGTATTGTAGTGCATAGGATGCACCACCAGAGGTCAGTTTCTACTGGATGAACAGGCAGCTGAGATGGGGACTGCGATTGGAAGGGATAACATTACAGGACTAGTAAAACGCAGGCCAGCAACTGAGACAGCAGGGAAAAACATATTTTCAAGTCACTTGGTGAATTAAGGGTTTATTTCGACTGAACCAGAGTCAGTGATAGTTGGGAAACTGGACCAAGACCAAGATGGTTTCGGTGGGTTTTATTTTTAAATAAGAGTGTTTTACAATGAGTTAGCAATTAGGCTAGTCTTATTTTGGTGAAAGAAAGAAACCTGAATTTAGAAGGTGTACAGACGCATTTTTTGTTTAATAAGGAAAATGGGTGTTAGTATTTTTCCTTTCTTGACATTTTGTGTCCATAGTTTGTTTGTTTATTTATTAGACTAAAAAAGCTAAGAGAGCTTGTGGACTGTAGCGAACCCACTGCTTGAAAACATCTCTCGACTCTCAAAGTACAGAGGTAGAGAGGGGGGGTCTCCTTGTTGCCTATTTGCTCCATAGATGTATTATAATAATAACTTGGTACTGGATACCAAAATGGCATATATTCATTCCTATGGAGTTGATCTGCTGGTGCAAACGCCAAAAACAACTTTCTAGCTTTCGCGTTTACTTCCTCGGTGTGCGGTCCACTTAATATGCATAGTAATGTTTCACCCACTGGCTCCATGCGGGATTTCCAGCTTGACGCGTATAGACTTTACACTGTCAGACATAAGGGATTTTTAAATTGTTTTTTAGCTTGAGGAAAGTTTTACAAATTTAAAACCTCCATGGATCAAAAATGTATAATAGAAGGAGTCATAACTGATCTTGTCTCCAATTCAAGATATCCTGTCAACAGTTTTACAGACATCTCTTAGTCTATGGGGAAAAAGCTTTTGGGGCTGCAGTACCGCAAGTGGCCACTGGAAAAAATTGGAATCAAGGCTGAGCAGCTTTCCTGGGGGCCTGTTTTACTCCAATTTTCTTTGTGCTTCAAAAACAACCACCCTTTCTTGTAAGGTCTCTGTCTCTCAGGGTGAATATGAAGGTGTTCTACCTAGACGCCTAAAGAACTTTCACTGTGTTGACTGCATTATGCAGCATTTTTCTGTTGCATTTGTTTTCAGGATTTGTGTGGTTTTTACTTTGCATCGTTTCTGTGTTTTAAGTGTGTGAATTTATTTTGGCTTTCTGCAGCATGTTGCCAGGATGTATTTGTCTGGATTTTCAGATGTGTTTTTGATTGACATTGTTTCTGAAGCTGCAGAACGTTTCTCCTAATGGAAATGGTTTGGGCAGTTGTTTGTCCTTGTCAGCCACTGTAGTAAACCCATCTAGAAGCACATGGTTGTCTTGGCATGGCAGTCAGCAGTAATGTCAGTGGGATTACTAGTATGTTTAAACAAGCTAAATGGCATATGTTATTTTAAAAGACCATTCCAAACAATGGATGTGAGCACATAGAAGGTGCTTCTAAACTTGTTGGAAAAATCAGTACATTTCAGTGAGGGGAGGATTGCTTGACAAGCACTGAAAAATGTGGTGAAAGTGTTGACAAAACACTTCAAGCACAGCTTCAGCACACAATGAAAATCTCATAAAATATTTGTCACTGACTGCGAGTTCCTGTGTTATGAACTCTCTGAGGTTGTGCCAACAAGTTCATTATTTTCAGTTTCAGCAATCAAGTAGGTTAGGTCATTTACCGGTGAATTAGAGAAAGAGAAAGGAAGAAATGAAAATAAATCAGGTCTGAAATCACAATTTGAGAGAAAAAAGATTCCACTCAGCAGGAATATTTACCGAACTGACTAATGAGTTATTACTTTATCAGTGCACAGACATGAGCAGAATATCTTAGAGGAGTCTCTCTCCTTCTCTTTATCAAACACACACACATACGGACACTCTTTCAAGCAGTAAATTACCAATTTTTAAGATCAAAGGTGAGCTGCTCACCATACTTTGCTGGTAATGAGAAACAGGCATGTTCGCCCCCTCTTACTCTCTGATTCACACACAGACACACACAAAGATGTCCGACAGTTGGCCTAGTGGGGCATCTGTGAGAGCATACATGTGTTTTTTCCATGCAGGGCCTTTTAAGTTGAACACTGGTGTATCAAAGGAGCAGACCAGGGAAGATCAAAGAGCCCATGTGAGGCCTGCCATTCTCAATATCTGATAGACATAACTAAGCCTGCAGTGCTACATGAATATCCATTAAGTGTCACCATTTATCTTCCATTTGTGCCCGCATGGATGTTTCCTGCATGGATGCAATGGACCGCATCCGCCAAGAGGTCCTGTGAGCACTTGTATTACACTGAAGTAGTTAAACATAAAGGACAATTATGAGAAATTATACAGGACACATCAGCCACTTGTAAAATGGCAGAGAGGTACCCAGTCAGGGTGTTATGAGTGAGTCTGTGCACGCTTTATGTGTGTGATGAGTGTGACATTGTGGGGATGTACTGTGCAAGCCAATTTCTGTAGTCTGCTCAGTGTCACATGGTATTGCCCTGTTGTCTCACTCTTACTCAGACTAACACAACGCACACACTCTCCTTGCCTTATGTATTTGTGCACCGGAACCAATCAAGATGCTCTCTCTCAACACAAGGACGTCATCAGGGCTGTGGTGGAAATTCCACAAAGACACACTAATTCATTCAAACTCACACACACTTCAAAAACACCATACTTCAGCACAAGGTTAAAATAACAGCCAAGTTTAACATAGATTTAATGCATCCACCACAAATGTTCCATGCAGGGGTGTCATAGTGGGGGGAATAGTGGGACTGATCACCCAACAAGCGGGGGCCTTTTTATTCTAAGTAAATAGCGGCATAACTAAATTGAAATTGGCTGACTACATTGGTTAAAAGACTGAACTTTGTACAAAAAAAATAGTGGAAGCTCTCGGAGGCCCCTCTCACCCCTTAAAGTTGCAAAATGGTTTAGTCCGCCCCTGCACATAGGATTCATTGAGTAAGTGATTGCTTATGCTGCTGAAGCACCAACATACACTGTCATGTCTTTCCCTAAGAAAGAGGAATTAAGCTTCCAAAAAAGAAAAGAAAGGGAAAGACAGCAAACTGATTCTGTAAAAAATGAATTCAAAAGGTGTGTGAGAGACACATGGATCAAGAGAGAAAGGGTGGGGGGCCCACAGAGGCTACTCATGCATGGGACCCAGAATTTAGTGCTACTCCCCTGGTTCCATGTAAGAAGGGAACATCACTTTGCTTTTCAAGCAGCGCATGACAGCAAAATATATGATGACCCTCTGGTGAGATTGATCTTTTGTATATCACAGTCCAGTCCCTTTGATGTAGGTTAATCCATAAAGGACCTGTAAAGCACAGCTGAGAGTCAATCACTGGTCCATAGCTGCACAGGCAGGTGGATGCAGCTGGCTCAGTGAAAATCCTGACTGCTTTACTGTGCACTCTCCAACCCTGTCCTCTACTTGTTGACATCCCAGGTGGATTAGTTGGTGTTGATTAAATTCTCTCAACCCAGAACAGCTTTGCCATTTCTAAAGTATGGCTCAGGAGCCTCTTTGCATAACTGCAAATTGCAGAGTTTATAAATAAGCACATGGATTTCACACAAGGCCAAACAACCGGTGACTTTACTTATTTATCATGCCTCTGGGTGGATGAACAAAAGTTGTGGGTGAATATGACGTTATGACTCACGTTTGCCTGGTTTCGGAGTTGAACCCGGTGTCGATGTGCTCAGCAGAGAAGTGGTTCCCGTGGTCTGAGAGCTCCGGAGCCCGGTGGAGCCTCTGTCCGCGGTGCTGAAAGCGCTCAGCGTTCGCCGCTCCTCGTCCTCTCCACTTGGGGAACGGGTCATCGCGGTGGTCGTACACCGCATCTATCCGCACATCCGGCCGCGAGCATAACGGAGAGCCAATGTCCCCGGTGCTCTGGCAGAACTTTGGCGGTGTGAAGTGCGGGGAGAACCCGAGCTCCCGGTTCTCTGGAGGCGCGTGGACGCACTCCGGAGTGGCGAGGTAAGGCGGGTCTGTGTCCCCCAGCAGCGGAGAGGCGGAGGAAAAGATGTCCAGGGGCCGCGATGAGGGAGGAGATCCTCCGGGAGGATAGACAGACAGAGGCGGGGAGGGAGACTCGGAGAGGTGGGCTCTCTCGCCGCTGTCGGTTTCCTCTCCTTCGTCAGACATTGGGTGAGTTCTTGAGCAGCATATACTTTAAAATGTGTCCTGCTATGTGGCACACATTTAATGATGCTTGTCAAAGTTTCAACCGCACAAGTTTCTTCTGAGCGGCGCAGCAGAGACGAGCCGAGCCTCCACCTTTACACAAGAGTGCGCGCACTAATTAGAGAGCACCGGCAGTGCGCGCGCAGGGAGCCAGCCCATTACAAAATGGAAGGAAAGAAACAAGTGGCAACACCGCAAAAAAAAATCCCAACTTATTGCACAAGGCTGCAAAAATATTACATGTTCTCCTATCAAGAAAAACAGATTTTCAGTCTGATATACCTGAAGATCTGAAAATGCCTTTGTATCTTAAAAACAGGCTTTACCGCGCTGTTCTAGGAAGCCAACACACACACACATTGTGCCAAATATCAACTAAGCACAGATAAACGACTTTTTCTACCTCATAAGAGAAGAGCAGATCCGGGTGAGTGGGCAACAACGTCCAGCTCCGTTGAAAGAGTTTTCGGTGTGAGGGAGAGGAGGAGAAAGATCCAACTGGGAGTGTTGGATGCTGGTTGGGGAGTGAAGGGGTTAACATGCCCACCTGTTATGCCAATTACTGGTACTGACATAATCTTGTTATTGCTTCGGAGAACAAGCAATTAATACTTAGAGTAGCCAACATCTAACCCCAGTGGCAGGCTTATTTTAGGAAACACAGAGTCTTTGCTTGCTCTTTGGGACTTTTAGACAAACCTGGACGCAAAACCCTTTCAAGTCTCTGTCTTTAGATATGAAAATGAAAATAATATAGTGTTTGAATGTGTGTTTACTTTATGGTGTCATCCTGTAATTAGAGGCAGAGATCCATTCATCATGATGGAGACTTCCTGTACCCCCACACAGACATTAATCAGTTCTAACTAGGGCTTTGATCTGTGCTTGTATTTACGCACCCAACACATACACATAAATCACCATATAATCTAATTAACACATATCACACATGACAAACTGTTTTCACTGCTGTTTACATTTGGGTAGGAAATGAGGTCTGTAGACAAATCTACAACTCGATTAAACATTGCTACTCTTGCTAGTCGGCAATGGAAATACTAGTCGGTTAAACTTATTATTTTATTAATACCATAAAACTTCAAATAAATGTCCTGTCCCAATTGAACATCCAGTCCCTTTTACTGTAGCTACACATTCTGACAATAAATGCCTGTCTCAATAGACCCTTTTACAGTATGCACACATTTAATGGTATTATTTAAACAGTATGACGTTTTTTGGTGGGCGGGGCTTAGCTGGAGGCAATACAATTCTCTACAGACATTAGCTAGCGCTAGCTAGCAAGTTCTCTTGACTTGTTTTAGACAATGGAGGAAGATGATGTGAGTGGTGCATTCAGAAATACTCTTTCCGAGTGCCGAAGTGGACTCTGGCACAAACTGGAAAGTTCGTAAATTCATAACGCAGTCTGAATGTACCATTCAGTTATCCGCACTCTCAAGTGGCAGGGCACACTCTCTCTCATACAGAAATATAAGGCTCCATTTCTTCGACCAGCAGGGCTCTCATTTTAGTGTAGAGTGACTGAATTTACGAATGCACCATGTCGGGTCAATCACGGTAAGTGTTACTTGAATAAGTTAACATTGACCAGCGGGACCAGACTGGCCAACCAATATGCTCTCACTTAGTGGGTGGATGATCTGACAGGATTGCTAAAGCTAATGCACTAAAAAGTTAGTGTTACAGAAAAATCCAATATTCCTCTTAATAACTCTCTAGTTTCTGAAGAGGTAGACATGAAAATGCAATATTTTTTTGACAATTTTAATGTTATAGATTATATCGAGGTCAATTTTAATTGCTTTCTAAGTGTTCTATTTTTAGACTAGTTGACGAGTCTAAGGGCCATTTCATAGTCGACGCACACAATGTGAGCAAGCAACGCAAGTGATGCGAGCAACGCACTTCCTTTCATAGTCAATACATTGAATGCAAGCGACACTTGAAAACGAAAAAGGGGGTAGCAGAGTCACTGGTACTTTCCGGCTAGCTAGTAGTTTTTCCTCCTCTCCCGCCATATGCCATAACTGCTTCTTCTGTGAATAACAAAAAGTGGTTAATTTCAAGTATGTCGCTTGCATTATCACCCCCGCTGGCAACGCATGGTATAACAGGCGTCGCTGCATCATGTATCCAACAAATGGACAACACATTTTGAGATGCAAGCACGCATCATGGCGGCCAAAGTGTCTCGATGCGTCCCAATGCGTTTGCGTCTGCGTGTCTTTGTGTCGACTATCAAACAGCCCTAAGTTTGAACTTCAGTTTAAACTGGTCTGGGCAAATAATTGTTAGGAGTGTCCTATTTGCTGACCCAATCACCAGAAAAGAATGTTGGCATTGTATTTTTGTATACTGCAAACTACAGACACATTACACTTGCATGTTACCTAACAGTTGCATTGAAACTTTATGTTTTAACAACACTGTGGTTAATATGTGGTTGGGTTTAGGCACAAAAAAAACATTTGCTTATGGTTAGGAAAAGATCAGGTTCTGGCTTAAAATACCCAGTTTTTGGTCACAATCCCTGCTGGAAAATCAGCTATGTCTCTGAAAAAACAACTCCCTTTCATATCTATAAAGCTGCTGGAAACACAGCAACAGGTCCCAACAAAACACCCACATTTGTGCATAAAAATCCACTGAAAACACAGCAATGACTCACTAAATCATAAATGGTTTTGTTGATTGTTGGTCTCGAACAGTGCTTTGCAGTCCTGCCACCCAGCCACACCCCCTCCAGTTGACAAAATATACCACATCACTTTAGAAACATTAAAATTATCCATATGAAACATGCAAATGTAATGTATTTATGCTTTGTAGAAACGTGCAGTACCAACATTTTCTTCTGGCGGCTGGGCCGCCATTACCCATGTAATAAGCTACAGGAACACGATTTACATGTTCAATTACGTATGTCTTCATACACTTCAGGGTTTCATCTCTTCATCATCATCATCATCATTACTTTTCACATGGAAATAACACATGCTAGAACTCCAGTGAAATGGGATCTACTTACTCAAGGGCTTGAAATCACTCAATTAAATGACAAAGTCATTTCCAACAAATGTTTAAATGATTTTATTCTGAGAAATTAGCAGATTAAGGGACCTATTAAATATTCTAATGTCAGATATTCACATCTTCCTCACATTAAAGTGATAGGACTCAAATCGAAAAACCAGCAAAGCAGCCCTGCAGGATTAATTACACATATGAAAAATGAATATTTAAATGATATTGTCGAAGCGGTACAAACCACTCTTCAAGGCTGTGGGATAGTAAAACACAGGCTTGTGCTTTGATACCGAAGTGATCTGTATGCTCCACACATTCAAACCTTGTGTCCTTGAGTGAAGAACACATAATGTTGCTGTGCATTATCATTGCTTTAGTTCCTCCTTAATTCATCTTAAGTTTGACCCCAACTTAATACAGAGATTAGTGAGAACTGGGACAAACTGTACCACCGAACATGACGTCATGAGGGAATGTCAAGTGCCTCCATCTGTGTATGTGTGCGAGTATTGTACCTCTTATGTTATATTGCTTTGGGCTTTTGAAGTGGAAAAGGGTTGTTGTAAGTGTATGTGTGTGATTTCAAAGCAACAATAAGCCAGTTTTTCCTTTTGTTTTGACAACCAGCCAAGCTTATACTGCATTAAGAGTGCCATTGTAAGAAGCACAATGTTCAAGAGGTGAGTTTGTGTCTTAAGGAGTAACTGCGTAGTTGTCAGAGGCACACTGTTTATCGTCCAGCTTCACACTAATAAGCCACTGCACATTTGCAGAACCAATCAGACTCCTTTAGGAATGTTAATACATCGAAAGGAATAGAATTACTCATTTGGCCATTCAAAAGGGTGAATCAATATTCGCTAATGTATGGTCTCTGTGTGGGTTGAGATTGTCTGGTCTCACCCCAGCCACAGGTGTCGCAGCAGGAGCTCTCTATTGTCTGTCACAGGCAGAACTCCTGCTGGAAAACCACTGATTGAGGCTGTTTAGAAAAGCTGCATTCTTGAAAGTTGCAATCAAGAGAAAACAGTGCAGCAGCAATTTTCTGTCCTGTCTGTGAAATTACAGCAACACAGCACACACAGCCGCCTCCCTTAATAATGTAGGGGTGTGTAGCCTCACATTGATTTCTGTGAGTTACTGTACTCCTAGTATGTTTAAGAAAGACAGACAGATACAGTACAGGCCAAAAGTTTGGACACACCTTCTCATTCAATGTGTTTTCTTTATTTTCATGACTATTTACATTGTAGATTCTCACTGAAGGCATCAAAACTATGAATGAACACATGTGGAGTTATGTACTTAACAAAAAAAGGTGAAATAACTGAAAACATGTTTTATATTCTAGTTTCTTCAAAATAGCCACCCTTTGCTCTGATTACTGCTTTGCACACTCTTGGTATTCTCTCCATGAGCTTCAAGAGGTAGTCACCTGAAATGGTTTCCACTTCACAGGTGTGCCTTATCAGGGTTAATTAGTGGAATTTCTTGCTTTATCAATGGGGTTGGGACCATCAGTTGTGTTGTGCAGAAGTCAGGTTAATACACAGCCGACAGCCCTATTGGACAACTGTTAAAATTCATATTATGGCAAGAACCAATCAGCTAACTAAAGAAAAACGAGTGGCCATCATTACTTTAAGAAATGAAGGTCAGTCAGTCCGGAAAACTGCAAAAACTTTAAATGTGTCCCCAAGTGGAGTCGCAAAAACCATCAAGCGCTACAACGAAACTGGCACACATGAGGACCGACCCAGGAAAGGAAGACCAAGAGTCACCTCTGCTTCTGAGGATAAGTTCATCCGAGTCACCAGCCTCAGAAATCGCAAGTTAACAGCAGCTCAGATCAGAGACCAGATGAATGCCACACAGAGTTCTAGCAGCAGACCCATCTCTAGAACAACTGTTAAGAGGAGACTGCGCTAATCAGGCCTTCATGGTCAAATAGCTGCTAGGAAACCACTGCTAAGGAGAGACAACAAGCAGAAGAGATTTGTTTGGGCCAAGAAACACAAGGAATGGACATTA